AATCATTGTTTGTCCTTTTAACCATAATTTCATAATTATTTCACGTTTTTGTCCTTCATGTAAATGATAATCACGTTCAATTGCATTCATAACATCTTGATAAGAAAGAAGATTCTATAACAATAATATTTAAAAGTACATAATTCATAACAAGAAAAAAAATTCTATTATTTTCAAAAGACTTTATACTTTTAAATTAATAGATGCAGCAACCGCAACAAATTGACTTGTTTCTAATGAACGATTTAATCGTGAATCTTGATTCGATTGAGATAAAATTGGATTTTGTTGAATAATATTTTCCATTCTATTTGTATTTTTTTTTAATTTATTCTTAATTCTTCATGATATTCATTTATAATCTATTATGTAAGAATAATAATAATAATTTTCTATTTCTTAATAAATAAATTTTTATACTTCTTGTGATGATGAATGTTGATTGGTAATAAGTTTTTCTTCGATCCAGTTATTCTATCTGTTTGTTTTATTAATTTAATATTATGATCATGATTATTCAAAACCTCAAAGAAAATAAATATAAACCAACCTTGACAATCACGAACATCTTACTTCATTCATTTTTCCTTTTTTTTTTCTCTCTTTCTCTCGTCTTTTCTCTTGATAAATAAATCAAAACAACAAAAGAAATGATGTATGTATATGCAAACAAAAATTGAAACATACAGACAAGAAAAAAAGAAAGAATTTGAAAGAAATAAAAATTTATATACCTTTTGTTGTCATTATTCGTTTGAATAATTTTTAATATATTGAAACTAAAATGAAGCAAATTATTGTATAATTAATGTTCAAAAAAACACTTTAGATCAATTCTCTATATTGGCTTCCTTCATACTAAAACATCAATGAGAGAATTGTCAGTCGATACAAAACAATCCCTTCTTTTTTTTTGTTGTATACCGTTACATTTTCTCATTCAGACTAATAATTTAGAAAAAGAAATCAACAAGATGCAACGATATTATTATTTGTCCATTTAGAGACATACTCTATAAAGAAGAAGAAAAATGACAATATATATATATATATAT